TCTCGTCGTCACTGTTGTTCTCCTTCTTTGCCGTTGGTGCGTGTCTTGTCACTTCAGGTAGTTTCTTGAGGTATCCATCATTGACGTGGGCAAATCGCTGATGCAATCGCTCTTGTGTGACGACTTCCGCGACTAATACGTCTGTTGTCATCACATTCGTCGGTTCTTCATTGTCATCGTCCACCGATGGTGGGTGCGGCTGCTCCATGACGTCAACCACTCGCTCATCGGTCGCATTCGGGCAGTCGGACGGGTCCTTGTAAATGTTGAAGTACCAGAATCGCCCTTCACGCATCAATGGGTACATATCTCCTCTCTTTGCCTTCAGCAACGCAGCACCATGATCAATCTCGAGCTTGACGTTGTAATCGTCGATAAGGTGAGCAAGAGAAAGCAGGTTGAACTTGAGCTTGGGCACATACAGCACGTTGTCCACCATGACCTTCTTCTTGCCTTTGTTGATCTCTCCACAGGTAAACTTGATGCAGCCGACACCCATTGCTGGTGCGGTTGATCCATTCGCCATGATGACGTTGATGTCGTGGTCAAGTGGCTTGATTTCGTCGAAGAGCTGCTCCTCAAAACAGCATGATCGCGCTGCTCCAGTGTCCATCATCATTGCCGTAGGTGAGGATGAACACACACCATTCACGTGTACCACCTCATCAGCCAGTTCTTCTATCTCGACTGCTCCAATCGTGGCAAAGTCCTCATTTCCTTGTTGCTGTTGTTCTTCCTCTTCGTAGACATCGAATTGGTTGGCGTATTGGCGATTGGGACGTCGGTCGTTCCGTCTGTCGTTGGCTCGTGCTCGGGTGTTGTTCATAATGACGTCGCCATCCTTATCTCGTCGTTCTGTAGGGCGCCATGTTTGCTGCTGCTGCCCTCCTCCCTGCTGCTGTCCGCCAGTGTGCCAGGTGCGCTGAGAGGATTGGGCATAAGTGGATGAGGCAGGTCGCCAGTAGTTGCTGCTCTGTCTGTTGGTGTTGCTCGGCTGGTTCCTCCATCCATTGCCATTGTTCCTGTTGGTGTTGTTGTATCTGTTGTCAGGTCGTCTGTCAGTCCATCCCTTCCTCTCATCATCATGCTGACTACGCTGGTCTTGACGGTCATGTTGTCTTCCGGATGGACGGCCCCTCTGCTGATGTTGACGGTCTCGTTGCTCTCTTCGCAGCTGTTTCATGCGGTCATTCGCGTTACGAAGAGCTTCTTCAAATTGCGGCCACGTCAGTGCTTCTCCACGATACGCGCGGGATGCTGACTCATGCGCCATGGTTGCCTTGAACATGTCGAATCTCTCAGGCAATGCCGATAGCATGACGGCGATCATCGTCTCGTCTGGCACTGTTGATCCGACTTCATGAAGGCGGCTGACGAGATAGCTGAAGTCGCCAAGGGCGTCGTCAAGATCGTCCTTGATCATCTTCCAGCTGAAGAATCGCTGCAAGAGCTCGTGCTTGCATACGATACGATCAGGTATGAACCGCTTCCGCAGTTCTAGATACGCCCATGCACCATTCTCGCCGTGCTTCTGGTATGCTTCTTGAATCAGTCGCTTGGCCTTGTCTGCTGTCTGCAGGGCGAGGAAGCCGAACAGCCATCGGAGGTTCTTGGCGTTGGAGCTCTCCTGCTCAATCAGGATTGGCTGTCCCTGCTGGTTCACCACGGGCTGATTATTGCCATCCATCTGTGGCACCGCTATCTTCATCGGCGGGACGTCCTCATCCTTAGTAGGTAGATAGACTTTCACATCCATCTCTCTTGCTGCTAAGTAGGCTCTGAGAGTAAAGTCCCATTCGCGCCACTTGATGTCGTTCTCGCCACTCCTGCCGGTAAAGACGGGGAAGGTGGCCTTGGTCTCGAGATTGAGTGTCATCT